AATATTTAAATAATCCATTAATAAATCCAACATTAAAATAATCTAAGAAAAACTAGCTCAATAATAATAAAAGAAATATAGTCCAAAATAATCGAATATTAACAAAATCTAATATTAAAGTAGGCTAGTACTAAAAAAGTCTAATTTTAAAATAATCCAATATTAAAATAATTTAATAAAACATAGTCTAAAACAAAAAATATTAGCTAATATTAAAATAGTCTAATAGCATCTACAGGGTATACAGCATTCGAAAATATCAGCTCAATCACTTTGTTTAGAATCTGAGCTGAGCTTTATTACATTTTACTCTTAGGGCGCACTCAACGCAAACGTTCCATGAACTGGCTTTGATTATCTCAGCTGACATTCCCATCAAATCACTCAAATCTGTGGGCTCTATTGGATGACAAGAACATTTGCTAGTTATATTGGCCCTGGGACAGTGCGAGAGCCAGGGACGGTGCCCGGGCCAGGGACAGGGCCAGGGAGAGGGCCAGGGCCAGGGTCTAGGGCCTCTCTTGTCAGTCCTTCAACTTGACCCATGTCTGTCTTGTCGCATTCGCTTTGTCTTTCGGTTTTTTTCTTTTGTCCGCGGTCATGCGTTTTAATTATGATGCAGCGTTCGAGGCACGCATCTGTCAACGTGACAGAGGCGCAAAGACAAATTAACAAAATAAACAAATTGCATGAGTTTTAATTAAAAAGCAAGCAGAAGAAGCGGCCCGAACCCGTGCCAAATGCAACGAGCACTCGGCTCGGGTAACTAGCTCGAGTGATCCCAGCGTATCTCTCATCTCGATCGCATCTCACTTGGCAAGTGCCGAAAGCTGTGACCACCCGCCCACTCTTTGCTCCTATCGGGATGCCAGAGTCTTTCATAATCAAGTCGTCTGCATTAAATTTTGGCAATTGGCCGAGTTGTACGCTCGTTAGCCAGCGGCTAACTTAATCACATATTGGGGCTGCTGTATGGGGGAGGCATATAGTTAATCTAGACTAAGTGCTCTGGCCATCTCAGAGAGTGTGCCAATTTTCGATGGCTTTGCTCCACTGACACGGAGCACGCGGCGTATGCGCAATGTTGTTGATGTTGCCTCCCAGAGCGACGATGTTGGAGCAACAAACGCAGCCAACACACAGCTTGAGACTAAGTGCCACTGCCACACACTGTGTGATCTGCATGTGCCAGTGTGTGTGTGTGTGTGTGTGTGTGTGCTGTTTAACCCATTAAAGCCCTGGCGGGTTTTAATAGCCATTTCGCATGCTGTGAGTGCCAAAAACAGACTATGAATGAACCTTCTGAATGAATGAGTATTCAATTCAACTCAACTGTGTGTGTGCGTGTGTATGTCTGATTGAATGAATGAATAGCAGGAAACTAGCAACCAAAAATAGACCGAACCAATACTCAAATGCAAATGTCAAGCGAATCAAGTGAACGGAAATGAGCTCATTTTATTCGAAATCAAATTGTTATTCATAAATTTTGAGATTTTCATCATTTTGCAGCTCTGCTTTTAATTAAATTCCAGACAACATTCAGCTGCAAATTTGCTGTAAGCTCATTGTAATTGGTTTCGGCTGCTGTGGCCAATGGAATTTCCATTCATTTAACGCCACATCGGGCTGCACGTCTGCCCCACTCATTGATTATCATCTGAATGATCGTTTGATTTAGTGCATTTGGCTGGAAAATAATGCATACAAAATATCTAAGCAGCCGAGTAGATCTCTCGGTCTATAAAACCAGACATACAAAGAGAGAGAGAGAGAGAGAGTGAGAGAGAGAAAGAGAGAAAACAAATTGCAAATATTGCTAAATTTACAGATTTCTATGGATCAATGTAAACAACGATACTTATCCTTATCGATGACTGCGTTTTTATTGAATGTCAAGGTTATTTAAAGGAAATTCCATAAACAAAACTATATATAATAAAATACACATTGTTAATTAATATAGTAGTGTTATACTACATAAAGCAACCAAACGCGTGTTTACACTATTTTAGAATGGTATGCCAAAAATAAATTTTGTAATAAATCGAAATATATTTTTGTAAAATATATGTATATTAGTGCTAAGCAACAATTTTCTGGCTAGAAATCTAGCCTTATTTCAGTCGAAACTGAAATAAAAAAGTCCTAAGGGTAGTTCTTACTAATAAATATAAATAAATACCGGCTGTTCTCAAATGCTTAAATACTTCAGTTAGAGCTACGCTTCATTTATATGTTAGCATTTCTTTGGAATCCGTAGAGCTCAAGAGCTTTAAAATTCTCTTTATAACAGTGCAGCCCATCCAGAATAATCTTTCCTTTACCGTTTGTCTTTTGCTAGCGTTAAACTTACGCTTCGACAATTTCGCATTCGACATTTTTGTACGTTAACAGCAATATCATTATGATCATCATCATGATCATCATCTTCATCATTATCAACATGAACGAGATCAAACGTCTGAACTTGAGCTCTAATTATTTAATTAATTTATTGCGATAGTTCTCAATTGAATCGAATGGATATAGCCCCAGCTGCCGTCCCGCCACGCCCACAACCCCACCTCCAGCCCTAGCGTTAACGCTTTAATGTTGCAGGTGGCCTCTTTTGGTGGCGGCTGCTGCGCCCAGTTGCACACAACTCAAATAAAATGAATGAGCGGACTCTCGCGATCGTCATGCAGTCTACGCCACGCGACGCCCACGCCGCCCAGCCCAGTGCCCGTGCCACGCCCCCCAATAAAGATCGCCCGACTGTGTACATGGCATGACAAATGCCTGCGCCAAAAGGCGAGGCATTGCGATCGTCGCTGCCGCTGACAGCGACAATTTTTCTACCTCTGCCCCAGCCACTCGCGGCGGCTGGCAGCAGATTTCGATTCATTGATGCCACTTTGCTGGCAAACACTTTTTGGCAAAGTGGCATAGCCTATGCACCGGCATAGCCTATCTGCCCCACCACCCATCACCCACCACCCACCGCCCATCGCCCATCTGTGCTGCCTTTGCTGTGCGACACTTTTCATTCTATTTGATGTCTGCTCCCATCATGCTCTTCATTTATTTTGTTTCATTTTATTTATCTTGGCCTGTAATTTCGCGCATAAATTCAAATGCTGCCCGGCTCGAGGTGTCACTCGGCCTGTGGGCAGGGAGCAAGGGCCGGGTCGGGGGTGTTTCTTTTTTATTTATTTTGGCTGCACTTTTAGCAGTTGCATTACCCTCTGCACATAAAACGTTGAAAAGGGGGGATACGTGTGTCTTATTGGAGTCCAATTGGATTCGACTACAATTATATGGTATATGAAATGGCTATAATTTTAGTTTGTCTAAATAGTATAAGTATTTGAAATTTTGAATAGATAAAAAAATATTGTCATATAGCATTACAGTATTATATAATATATTTATTATCTATCCATAAATTTCTTAAATATATCCTATTTCACTTCTACTACAATCCAACTATATCTGTATGTATAAAAAATCAAGAAAATTATATAAAAATCTCCATAAACTCGGCTTTAAATTTCCAATTAGACCGCACATTCCAATTAGCAGAATTCCAATTATAATATCGATTTAAATTGCCTTAAATATTCCTACATTAAGTATTAATAGCCCAATTTCTATCATCTCAAAATAATAGGTATCTTCTAGTGCATCACTTCCTGTCAGGATAGCTTTACTTGTTTACGGTGAAAAAAAAAAAAATTGCCATGTAATTAAATCTAAATCAAACGTCACATTTTGAAGGTCTCTCGCTGGCAACATCGTTCGCTCGCTCGCTCGATTGGCTCTGGCCGAATTTTCGCTTTTGGCTTTGGCTTTGACTCACCTCAAAGCGCGTAGCGCTCATGTCGCATGCAATTTCTACCTATTTCGATGCACTTTTTGTTGTCGTCAGCAACGGTGACAGCAGCAGCATATGTATGTACGACAAATGCCCCCGCCCTATGCCCCAACAGCCCGATAGCTATACGGCCATACCCAAAACCGGAAACGGTTACGCCAATCTCTCGAGCTTATGTATTGATGAGATCTGACACAGTGAAGAGCAGCGTTTGTAATGGGGTTTTTGGCATTGAATTTGACGCAACTGAAACATATATTTTGCTTCAATGGGTTTGCCTCTGCCAGTTGCTATATATATACATTTATAAATACGTACATAAATGCCCATATGTATGTGTATATATAATATTATATATACATATATATAATGTTCATCTCAGTTTGAGCGATCAGCGATAGCAGCTTCAAGTAATAATAAAATAATAATAATAAAACTGTGTTTTTTAGGGACCTATACCTCCATTAAGTACTATAAAATAGCAACACATTAGATATATTTCCATTATTATAATTACCATTATTATGTTCGAGTGACGTTTGGATAATGCAAGCTAAAAGTGCATTAAATCTCTTTTTTGGGCGTATGATTTAAAAACTTTTTCATAGAGACAGCCACTATATCTCTAAATTTACTTTGTATAGCGTACGGAACTTGTAAAACAGCTGTTCCATATCACCCTTCAGTCCCGTATCCCCATTCACTTTGTTGCCAATCTGTCTTTTTCATTAGATAGAACTATTCTGGACTCAGAGCTAGATACTATAATAGTTACAATATTAGTTTTGGTAAGCTAATGCAATGGAGTTACTTAAAGTAAAAAAAAAAAAAATAAAATAAGAAAAATTAAAAAAATAAAAATAAAATAAAAACGCTATGGATTTATTTAAACAACAAATAAAATAATAGAACATCAAGTAAGACAATCACAACATTAATAAACAAAAATAAAAAAACAAATTTGTTTTACTAAGACTTTTACTATTTAATTTGAATTTAATTTCAATAATAAACTTTAAAACCTTTAAAATAAAGCCGCAAATCTGTTTTGTATTTTTTTTGTTCCTAACTATATGCCAAGCACTTAATTTAGGAAATTTAAATTGTTGTTGTTGTTGTAGTAGATTCTAAGTGGAGAACTCACCAGCCGAATCCCGTCATTGGCATTGCAAATATTAAAATTGCAATTACCATGAATAACCGCATATCGCTCCGAAGCCGCAACAGCGGCAACAACAAATGTGGCCCAGTCTCGAGTGATGTTGTTGGTTGATGTTGTTGTTGTTGTTGCAGTGTTTGGGCAGGTAGTTAAAGGTATTTTTATTGCGGCCGCGATGAGTGCGAGTGCGAGTACGAGATGTGTTTTTATTAGAATATTTCGCAAAACGAGCCAGCAAAACAAAACAAATACAAAAACAAAAACAAAACTAAATGAAATTAGGTTGCAGCTTTGCCGACGAGCGAATTAATCAAGCGTCAAGCGCTCAGATACTTTCAGTTCAGACGTGGCGCAAACTGAGGCTGGAGGCACTTGACGAACTCCAATGCCTGTGCACAGGCGACAAAAGATGCGGCGCGAAAATCGATCAGAGATCGGGTGATCCACGATCGACGATCCACGATCAACGATCAGCAATCAGCGATCAGCGTTTGGCGATCACAAAGAACTCAAGATCATCATGATGATGATGGCGATGATGATCTGTTAGTGTTACAACTTTTGGTTACTTCAGGTTTTATTTTGATCGCAGGCACAGCTGCTGCGCTGTTTGGTACGCACACGGAGAAAGCTGCCGGCGTACTGAGCAACGCCCAAGGAGCCAGCCAGCGCAGGAGTCGCTGTCGATGCTCTGCCTGTTGCTGTTGTTGTTGTCGTGTCCAGGCCAAAAGCAGCCAGTCGGCCAGTTGGCTAGTTGGCCAGGGCCCCAAATGTGAACAGCGAATCAAAGCACAAAATGTTGAAAAATAGTTGGAAGGGTGGAGCCGCACCACAAAAAAAAAAATAAATAAATAAAAAATAACAACAAAAACTCTTCTTCTTCTTGTTGGAGTAGCGTAAAAAATGAAATTAAACGCGCGCTTTAATCAAAGCGCAGTGCCTGGGTTAAGAGAGCTGAAGCTCAGCTTCCAGTTTCAGTTTTTCGTTTTTCGTTTTTGTATTTTTGTTGTTATTCTGTTGGTTCTTCTTCTCCTTCAGCTGGCTGTTCTGTTCCCGATTATTGCCTGTGCGTTGCCGTATCCTTAGCCAGTTTTTCCCATGCTCTTCGGCCCTGGGAACCCGATCGACAAAAAATGCACAAATAAAACACAAAAACTCGCGACGTTGAACGAACTCTCACAAGACACACGTTCGCGATGTTGTTGTTGTTGCTGTTGCTGTTGTATGTTTCGTTTGGTGTTGGTGCTGCGAATTTTGAGTGCGCTGACTTTTATCGGGACTCGCTGATTCTGTTCCGTTGCCGGCCACAGCTCGCGACGCTCTGCGGGATTTGAAACTAGTGGCGCACACTTTTCGTGTTTGTTTGGCGAAAAGCGCTTCGCGATCTACTACTACGGCATCGCCGTCATACGTCTCTTTGCGTCTACGTCCGGACACTGCGAATGCGAATGCGACTGCCAGTGCCACTGCCACTGCCACTGCGAATGCGACTGCGATCGACTCGGGCTCCGCTCTGACTCTTGACTGATCTGCGTCTGCGTTTGGCATCGGGAGCACAAATGCCGGCATATAGCCTATGAATGGTTCTTCTGCTGCTGCTGCTGCTGCTGCTGCTTCTTCTTCTTCTGATTGTTGTTGTTGTCGCAGTCAAAAAGTCTCTTCTGTTGCCGTTGCTCTTGTTCTTAGTGCTGCTCTGTTTAGAAGCGTGAAAATGTATTTCACTCATGCGCGTTCTGTACGCTCAACAACAGCAACAACAACAGCAGCAGCAACATTGACAACAACAACAACAAGAGCAACGCAGACGCCGCTGCTCGCTGCTCGCTGTCGCCGTCGACGTCGCTGTTTTTTTGTTGATTTTTTGAGATATTTTCTAATGTATCTGTAGATATGTGAATGTACTGCGCGTACGACTGTGTGCTTTGCCCACTGCCCCTACAGTCGCCGCCAATTGTGTGTACACACAGCTTTAGCTATAAGTAGTCCATTAATGTGATGTCTGCGTCAGATCGAGTAAAAATTTGTTTATGTGAATTAAGGTTATATTAAAGTCTTAAGGAAGTAGCTAAATTTGGAAATGAATTTGATTTCTTTTGTCACAAATACTTTTCTAAAAAAATTTGGAAGTATTTAAAGTAGTTTCATTTGAACTACCATTTTAGATTTATATTTAATTTTTTTACTAAATTATTAATTATTATTAACTATTTATTATTTATATCAATTCTCTATATTTGTACATGTGTTTTGCAAAAAGAATTGATGTATGTCTAAGCAAAAAAAAGATCAAAGATTTGTGCTCCAAAATATGTATTAAAGACAGATATATATAATATCTAAGTAAATACCAAAACTCATAATAAAATAATAATACATATAAATAAATATAAATATAAATAAAAATATACATATAATAAGACTCTTACGCCTAACTCAACATTTTGTGTGCATAGAATATTAGCGCCAACTGTTAACTCCTACACCGCCTACCAAGTAAAGGCATTATTTCTCTTGATATCCGTTTCTACTGATATCGCAATGCTCCACAACAGCTTCGCTCTCCCTCTCTCTCTCTCACTCCCTCACGCTCTCTTTCTCTGTGTCTCTCACCACCCGCGCCGCCTTTTTTGGACAACCGCAAATTGTTTACACGCGACAAACTTGTCATCTGTGTGTTGTGTTCTTCTTCTTCTTTTTGTTTTTTATGTGTTTCTCTGGCCCGGCGATAAAACCCCAAAAAAGGTTAGCGACTTTGTCTCACTGGCCATGCTCTGCTTGCTTGTTGGGCTAGGCCACAACGGGCCACCGCGGGCCACACGGGCTACACGGGCTACACGGGCCACGGGCAGGGCAGGGCAGGTAACAAACTGTCGACCCAAAAGTCACAGGCTCGTAAAAACTGTGCCACTTTATATAGCGCAGAGTCTCACAGTTGCTCAGTTTCACAGTTGCTCGGTTGCTCAGTTGATCGTGTCATCTGGCTTTGCATACTGAGTCCGTTCCGGGGGCTCACATCTTCAGCTCCATCTTCACGTTCGCGTAATAACGCCTCGTCTGCGTATCTGGTCGGCTAATCATTCTCAAATACAATAAAACAGATTTCATTTCACAGCGCTCTGTCGAGTCGCAGCAGCAGCAGCAGCAGCAGCAGAAGCAGTGGCAGCATTTGCTACCAAAAGCTTAGTCAGTCAACAGTCAGCAGAATTTAGAGCATGGCGTGTTAATCTCGTGCTGCTGGCGATCGCTCGGACGGCGCCTCGGCTGCCAAGCAAACGCCCTCACACACATCCCACAAACGTATCTCAGCATGTGACAAGGTTGAGCTTCTATTCAGCCTATAGCGAAGTTTGTATGCTCTTTCTATTGCCATAGAGGGGTAATACGGTACAGAAGAGTTAAATAATATTACAATTGGTTCCTAATTAAAATAAGTTATAGGATAAAAAAAAAAATAGATTACAAATTTATAAAAAAAAGTATATCAAAGTTACATGTTAAAATAATATATTAGTAAATTTAATTATTGTTTGAAAAATACTTTTAGTATAATAATATATGATATTAAAAAAAACATGTTTATATAAAATTCGCAAAATAAAAATCCAAATTTATTTGTTTAATATTTTGTTATATATTTTATTCGAAAAATACTTATTTCAGTGGAAATCTTCCTCAATACTGGCTGAGCTCATCAATCTTCAGCAGTTTTTTTTTAATTTTTTATCTTATCTCCATGTGTATTAAAATCCTTTTAAATAAATATTTATTTATTTTAATTTATATTATTTAAATATTATAGTAATAAAAAGCAAATTTAAAATAATTTATAGAGACATAAATAACAATAAAAATTTGATTAACTTTTTATTAGAATTTTTTCAATATTAAAGGCAAGCTGAAAAAATAAAATATGTATGCATATATAATATATTTCTTAATTAATTAGCAGCGAATATTACTTGAATATCCCTCTGGCAGGCACTTCAGCTTTGTAGCTCTCCAGTTCCTCTGCTCTCTGGTGTTACGTATGTTGACTAATCGCTGCTTGGCACTTTATTTATTTTTGTTTGTTTATAAAACATTTCAGAGTTATTTTGCCCTAAATGCCCAGAGTGGCTGTAGAGATTTCGGCTTAATTTTGTGAATGTTGTTGGATTGATTTTTATGGTTTATGTGGACCACTGTGCGTATGCGAAGTTGTTTCTCTTTTCTTTTCTGACTGGCGTCCTAAAGTTCACGAGTTGTCAAAATGTTTGCGCACCAGTCTCAGACTTATCTGCTCTGTTAACACATTACCAACACTGACGTGGACATGGAAGTGGATGTGGATGTGAATGTGGATGAGGAGAATACGTGGATGTGGTTGCGCGTATTATTGTTATGGGTTTGACGGCGCTGATTCAACAAATAAACAAAGCGCAAAACTTTCCGAGGCAGGCAAATATGTCTATTAAATGAAAATAGAAACTGACGGACTTGAAAACAGAACAAAACGGGAGATAGAGAGAGGAGATGAGTAGAAAATGAAAATGAGAATGAGAAAAGCTGAAAGTATTGCCTCTCGTTGGGTTGCTTAAAAAACAATAAAAATCGGCTAGGCATCGGCGCAGTTTCCAGTCATGATTAATGGATGCCAAACGATGCTTGCGAAATGCCATAAACAATCTACTCAGCCGAAGATCGTGGGGCCAGTCAGTCAGCCAGCCAGCCAGCCAGCCAATTGCACTTGGCTTCAATCAAATTCAAAATCAACTGTCAAACTTGCTTCACCTGATTCACCTGCTTCACCTGGTTCATCTGCGCCACACGTCACAAGGTGGGCGGCCGCAAGGGCGGACATGCGAGCGGGCTGAAGGTGGGTGGGTTTTTTGTTGTTCTTCTCCAGATTCGTTCGCACTATCAATGGGTCATAAAATTTTTATGGACCAGACATACGCGCAGCATACGCAGCAGCAATTCATTTAAGTGCCTTCATCGTAATTCTTCATAAACTTAAAGTCAGCTAAAATAAGCCACAAGCAATCCACATAGATCCATGACGGAGATCTGTTCCTGTGTTTGTGTGTTCTCTGGGGGTGTCTGTGTAGGCAATGCAGTTGTGTTGTGTATTCGGGGAAACGATTTCGTACCACACAGCTCCTCAAAAGAAGACAACAACAACAACAACAAACAAAAACGTCATGTTATGAACAATTAACGTAATTAGAAAATGGCATTGGGCCTAAGTGGAGCGCACTGAAGTTGCCCTACATCTGATTCTACTAATTCTTCTTCTTCTCTCTAACTGCCCGGGGCATGGCTCAGTAATAGAAACATAGAACATTAAGTGCTCACACAACAAACTAACAACATATCTATACTTTAGCTGATTCACATTTGACTTTTCCCTCTAAATAACGAATACGAATCAGTTGAACTTCAGATATGATGTTAGCTCATTTTTAAAATTAAGTACAATGATCAGCTGAAAAAACAGTTAAATCTGTCGAAATTTAATTATAGAGATTCAATAATAAATATACGATTGCGATGAATTTTAAGCTCAAAGAGAAGATTTCCGTTAAATTGGCAATGAGCAAAGCAAAAGATAACTTTTTGCCATTCCTAGATTTCCACGAATTTCGGAAATTTCGGAAGAATAAATTTTTCGCTCTTGAAATAAGGAAAGCTAATATTTACTCCAAAAAATGCTGTACAAAATTATTTGAAATTTCTAAAAGGCTTTGATTCAAATCGGTTGGAAATTGAATACAAAAAATTTCTACTTTAATTACCCAATTTATGGTAAACAAAAATTGTAGATTAAAAAGAAGAATTTAATATTTTCTTAATAAAGGAAACTTGAAATAAAGAAAAAGTGTGGCCTTTGAGATTTTAATATATTCATGGAAATCTTGTATAACGTATACGTCTAATGATTAATTGCTTACTAAGAGAATACCCTTACTCAGTAAAAAAAATACATATGTACATACAATTTTTTTTGGCAACTTAAACTAAACAAAAATTTTTTTTTTTTTCAATATATTAAAAAAAAAAAAAATACTGTATGCAATAGTTGGGGAAACAAAAAATTGTTAACTGTAACTTTTAGGTAATATTTGTTAGTCGGTTATAGTAGGCTTTGTGAATGTTATGGACTTTCACCTAGTTCTAGAGGGGGAGTTGCAGCTTTTTTTTTTCAACATTCTTTTGATGCTGTTTGCAATTTTTAAGCGCTTTCTCTCTCTCTTTCTCCATGCCCCAAGACAGCCTAGAAATATGCAACAATTCTAAGGCGTTGCAGTATTGGTATATTTGATATAATTAAACGATTGCAATTTTACTCTTTCTAAGCTCCCAAGATATCAAAAAAAAAAAAAAAAAAAAGAAAACCTAGTTTGGGAACTTTCATTTGCTAATTAAAATTAGTTTTGGGCCCCTAATTAAAAGCGCAGCAACTTTGGGATATTTTGGGAAATTTGTAAATTTTTTTGGCCACTTTTAATTGTTGTTCACGCAATGTTCTGTT